GGCTCAGCTGGCCAGCCCCTCCTGCCGCTCTGGAGTATAGTCCGAGTTCGGGTTGATCCTTGCCCCTCCGCGAGTCCTTGCATTATTGGAGAGAGGCTCTGGCATGTCTGAGGTTCAGGCCCACACTGAGCAGGCTTCGTGCTGGTAGAGTTAGCCGAGCCTCTGTGGGAGCTGCTGGCAGGAGAATATGCCTTTCACGCCAGAGCCTCACTGCCTGCCGCTCAGTTACTCTCCCAGTAGCCCCTGTTTGCTGTTTTCTCCCCCTCTCTGGGCCTGCAGCCCTCGAATCCATCAGCAAGCCCATAGCCTGTAGATAAGGTCTGCAGTAAATGAACTGTCTGCTTCATCTGCGCTTTATATTAGGCCTCCATTCATTTGAAGGAGGGGGGAATAGAGAAAGTCTTGGCAAGGGATGACCCTAAGAAATGGGGAGAGAGAGAGAAAGAGAGAGCATTGTGGCCTTCAAGCGAATGATTAATTGGCTTGAGGTGAAAGGGAGTGTTGTGGGTGAAACAGGCCAAGGTGTATGAATTAGTGTACACCCTAGAAGCAGGAAGTGGGAGGTGTGCTTGAAAAGGCAATCCCGTATTCTTCTACTCAAACATGACAAGCCCTTCTTTTAGGTGAATGGCTTTATTGCGTTGCTGTCTTTGGCCATTCCTGTCTTTTCTGTCCGGATTTAGTCTTCGCTAGCAGGCCTTCTCGATACATTAATGGTTTTGCTTTTTCCTTCTGGCCAGGTCTGGAAATAAAGCAGGGCAAGTCTGGGCCCCTGAAGGATCCACTGCTTTCAAATGTCTGCTCTCAGCAAGGTTGTGCGCAGCTCTTCTGAGTAACATCTCTGACTGCGATGAAACATTCAACTACTGGGAACCAGTAGGTGATCTCTTTAGCTGGGTTTTTTTTTTGTTGTTGTTGTTTTGTTTTAGTTTTGCAATCCTAGGGATCTAACCGATGGTCTTGGGCACATGCTTTACCACTGGACTACTCCCCTAGCCCCGAGTTCTGGGATTTCGCCTTTTATCTTGATTTGGTACTAATGAACAAGCATGTCAAATGTAATATTAAAATAAATTGTTTTCACCTTTATATCCTAAAAACTGTTGATTTGGGGCTGGAGAGATGGCTTGGTGGGTAAGAGCACTTGCTGCTCTGTCATGAGGATTATAATTCAAATTCTAGCAGCTCAAATGTAGGTGACTCCAAATCATGACAGCACAGTGTGGTGGCCATGCCTTTAATCACAGCTCCCTGGAAGCAGAGGCAGGTGGATCTCTGTGAGTTGAAGGCCAGCCTGGTCTAACAGAGCAAATGCCAGGATAGCCAGGGCTACATAAAGAGACCCTTTCTCAACAATAAATAAATAAATAAATGTCTGATGCCCTCTTGTGGTCTCCACAGGCACATTCATGCATGCAAACACTCATGCAGACATCCACACGTAATAAAATCGGTCTTTAAAAAAGCCCAAACTGTTGACTTAGTTACTTTTGAAGTCTATGACCTTTAGCTGACATACATAAGTCTAAGTAATATTTGTAGATATAGGTTTTAAAGCTAACAATTACTCCAAAACTTGGGGGAAGTACAATTATCCATTTTTTTTTCCTGTCCAGATCCCACTTCCTAGAGGGCAGGTACATTCTTCCAACTTTTAAAGTTTATTTCTTCTGATGTTTGCCAAAAGAGTTGTGCTGGCTTATTTTATGTCAGCTTGACACAAGCAAGAATCATTAGAAAAGGGAGGATCCTCAATTGAGAGAATGCCTCAGTAAGACTGGAATATAGGCACTCCTGTAGGACATTTTCTTAATTAGTGATTAATGGGCGAGGGCCCAGCCCATTGTGGGTGGTGCCATCCCTGCGCTGGTGGTTCTGGGTTCTATAAGAAAGCAGGGTGAACAAGCCATGAGGAGCAAGCCAGTAAGCCGCAACCCTCCGTGACCTCTGCATCAGCTCTTGCCTCTAGGCTTCTGCCCTGTGTTCACTGCTTTTGATGACGAACTGTTATATGGAACTGTGATTTTCCTTCTGTTGGTTTGTCCTGTCTAACTTCAATGTGATAGTTTTTATATACGTATATATTGGTTTTTTCAAGGAAGGGTTTCTCTGTGTAACAGCTCTAGTTGTCCTGGAACTAGCTATCAGGCTGGCCTTGAACTCACAGAGATCCACCTGCCTCTGCCTCCCAAGTTCTGGGAATAAAGGCATGTGCCACCAAAGCCTGGCATGTTATATTTTATTTCATTATATTTTATAAAAAAATGAGTGAATGAATGAAAAAAGGTTAACAACTGAACTGTCATTAGAAGGAAAATCAGTTTTCTTCAATAAAGTGAGTTACACAGGGTATATATCAACCATTTCAGGACAGGCCTCATGTTCAGGGTAGTTGACCAATATATGATTGGACTCTACAGTTTTTTTTTTTTTTCTTTGTATGTGTGTGTGCTTTTATTTGGTTATAGTTTGGTGGTTTTTTTTTCCCCTTTTTGTATGTGGTCTTATTTTGTTTTCTTGTATTGGGCCATTGTTTAACTTGGATGTGTAGGGATGGGGAGGATCTGGAGGACTTGGAGGAGGGGACAAATATGATGAAAATATATTTGAATTTGGAAATTGTTTTAAAGATTGAAAACTAAAATAATAAAAAGAAGAGATACACCCTTTACTCCCCAAGTTGCTTTGTGTAGAGGTGTTTCATCACAGAAAAAGTAGCTTTAGGGAAGACAATAGTGTTACTAGTAGTGTACTTGTAATATTGTTTCTTTATTTATATGTTTATGTATTGTTTGCTGACTTCCTAGTACAGAAAATTTGGAAGTAAATTTACCTGAACACATTTGTATAAAAAAAAAAAAACCAGAGGAAAGATGCTTGCTTAGTATGTGTAATTTAAGGAAAATAAGAGTTTTTCTGTTTTAGTTAAACTCTATTTTAAGAAAATACAGTAAAATTTTTAGTTTCTTAATTTAAAAACATGAGGTCATTCGTTTCTCTTCTTATTCATTAGTTACAAATGTTAATTCTTAACATCTGTCTCTAACAGTCTTGACCCGGCATCTTCACCTGTAACCCCTTAGGAGGGGCTTTGCTAGTACAACCCTGAGCACATTTGTTTCTGCTTTCAGACGCACTACCTCATCTACGGGAAGGGGTTTCAGACGTGGGAGTATTCCCCAGTGTATGCCATTCGCTCGTATGCTTATCTGTTGCTGCATGCCTGGCCAGCTGCATTTCATGCACGGATTCTGCAGACTAATAAGGTAAGCGTGGCCGCCCTGACAGCAGTCACATGGATCAACAGGTAAGTCTGGGAGCACTTTTGAAAGGGGAAAAATCTGTTGACAGTTGAGAGGCTGATTTCTTTCTCTTTTTTCATCTTGTGTTCTGTAGGCTAGTCTGGAGTTTTTGGACTCACATGCTTTTCTCCCCCATTTTCTAAGTTACTGTGTCTGTGGGCCTGGGCTGTCAGGCCCAACTTTTTTTTCCCCCTAAATTGTGTGTGAATGGTCACATGTGGGTGTGGGTGTGTTAGCCATGTGGAGGTTAGAGGACAATCTTTTGGATTATGTTAAGTGATCGGACAATGGCGAAGTTGAGTCTGCCTTCATGGGAATGACAGTTCCTTGGGGAAGAGAAACATTAAAGGAGAAGGAGAAAAGTACAAGGCACGATGGGGTAGCTCCAAATCTGAGAAGTTGTAACTGTTATTTTTAATTGTGCGTGTTTGCACACAAGCCTGTGGAGTCCAGAGGTGTCAGACCCTTGAAGTTGTAGTTGTAGGTGGCTTAGCTGCCTGACATGGGTGCTGGGACTTGAACTCCAGGCTCCTGGAATTAGCAACACATACTTTGAACTGCTGAACCATCTCTCTAGCTCTGGGAATAGTCTTTGTAATTGAAGGTCTAAGGATAGGAAAAAGACCAGCATTATTTATCATATAAATTAGTATGGTTCATGCAGAGTGTTGGATGGATTAAATGAGACTGAGAAACAGGAAGAGGCCAAATTTATGTGAGATCTGATAGGATCTATTAGATCTGATAGGATCTATCAGGAAATACTGGTGGCGTATTTTTTTTTTTTTTTTTTTTGGTTGAGAAGTTTTTGGAAGAGAGCCTTGGTTACAGTTGGATTTCTGGATTTCACAATGATCAGAGAAAATAGCACACATAGAGAGTGACATGACACTCTCTCTCCCTTTTTCTACCAAGTGTCTCATTTCTGGCTTCTTAGGCTTTTGTTGTGCTATTTTTAGATTTATTTATTTATTTATTATGTATTCAGTGCTCTGCTTGCATGTATGCCTGCATACCAGAAGAGGGCACCAGATCTCATTACAGAGGGTTGTGAGCCACCATGTGGTTGCTGGGAATTGAACTTAGGACCTCTGGAAGAGCAGCCAGTGATTTTAATCACTGAGCCATTCTCCAGCCCCAAGCTTCTGAATTTGTTAGAGGAAAAATAAGAGTAGAGGAAAAATATGTGCTTACACTTTAATTTCTAGTTGAATATCCATTATCACATTGAACTTGATGTTTCCAGAATTATTCTTCTGTCACTTACCTTATATATGTGGTGTGAACAGCATATGTTCCAATTTCATTCTGTTGATGTGGTAAACACATTCTGACTAAAAGCAACTTGGAGAGAAAGGGGCTATTTGGCTTATACTTCCAGGTCATAATCCATCAGTAAGGGCAGTCAGGGCAGGAACTCAAACAGGGAGTAAAACTGAAACCATGGAGAAATGCTGTCTGGCTCTTAATCATTTGGCTTTCTTGTTTTTGTAAACTAGACTGATCTTGAACTTACAAAGATCTATCTCTGCCTAGGATTCAAACTAGCTTTTCTAGCTAGCTTTTTATATAGTCCAGGTCTATTTTCTTAGGGATGGTGCTGCCCACAGTAGGCTGGGCCCCCCTACATCAATCATCAAACAGTCTCTTTCAGATATGGCCTCAGATTATTTTGATTAAGGCAGCTCTTCAAGTGAGAGTCTCTTCCCAGGTTATGCTAGTTTATGTCACGCAGATAATAAAAACTAACCAGGAAGATTTCCCTTTCGTTCCTACTTCAGTCTCTCCTCCCTGGTAGTTCTGCCAGCCCCAGTCAATAGGGACCCACAAGTATTTCGTGACTACAAGAGACCATCTGTAGTCTGTATGGTCAAGATATCTTATTTGAGATAAATACCAGCTGAGCAGTGAGGCCAGGGAGAAGGGGCTTTCATGTGCTCTGCAGCCCTTTAAGAGCCCATGCCTTGTCATCCTGACCTCACCTTGACCACACCTTGACAGGTGTGGTCAGGCATGCCTGTAGCCAGCCTCTAACAGGCGTGGCTTACTGTCCCCTACAATTCCCCTTTTAGTCTAAAAGAGGATTAAAACTTAACAGTGTAAAGTATCCAAAATTAACAATCATAAAGGTGAAATACAAGAAATCTGCTGTTGCACATCCTAACCATGTCTATTTCAGCTAAACCCTAAAGTCATCTGAAGACGTGCCCAACCTGAACACCTCCTTCCAATCCCAACCCTAAACAATAGGAAAGTTATTCCTAACTAGGCTTACACTACCTAATAGACAATAATGGGGCACGGGGGTGTAGCATCCTCCAAGTTACTTCCTGCTGAAATGGGACGATGGTAGCCTTGTGGGGTCCTGTGGGAAGAAAATGTTAGTATAGTGAAAGTCTCTAACGGATTATATCCAGTCCATGTTAGATGGGATTTGCTTGATTGAAGATCTAGGTTCAAATCCTCAACTTGATTGAAGTCAGTACTCAAAGCTCTAGTCGGAGTGTCATTTGAAATGGAGTAAGTTGTATCCAGTGTAGTCTAGGAGTTATGGTCCAATTTCTTTTCTGGAGCATCTAGGGATTGCTGTGAGGCGGGTCTTCATTGGCTGTGTGGGACTCAAACATAAGTGTTAGCAGAGAAATGTTTGCTTGTATATGTATGTATACTGGGAAAGGCAATCATAGAAAAATAATGATTGTGAGATGGTGTACACCTTGAAGGAAAGAGCCAAGAAAGACAAAGACAGTCCCCAAATTACTCTCTCGTTCTACATTACATCAATTGGCTTCTTGATATAATATAGAAACTCTAAAGTTTAGTTAAACAACGTGCTTGGATTTTAGGGGAGGAAAGCGTGGCTTACTGTCCCCTACACACAAGTAACAAGAGTTATAGCGTGTAGAGCAGTGGTTCTCAACCTGTGGGTTGGGACCCCTGAAGAGGTCATATATCTGATATCCTGCATATGAAATATTTGCATTATGATTCATAACAGTACAAAAAGTTGCAATGAAACAATTTTATGGTTGGGGGTCACCACAACACGAGGAACTGTATTAAAGGGTCCTAACTGTATTAGGGAAGTTGAGAACCACTGTTGTGGAGTTGTGGGTCCCCGTCCCCCGCCCCACTGTATCCTAATGTTGAAGAATAGAGTAGGTTGTTGGTGAAAGACAGTGTGGTGATGTGATGATGCTTGGTACCCTACTCATGATTGCCTTTCCCCCTTCTTGCTACTCCCAATGTGAGTAGTTCTCTGATTCTGGATCTGTGTGTGAGTTTCTGACATGACAGGGGTGGGACCCCACACAAAGGCCCTGACTCTTGTTTAGTCTTCATGTAGCTTTGAAGCCCAGTGTCCCCTGCAACAGTTCTTCGTCATGTAGTTGCCTCTGACTTTCTTGTGTGTGTGAGCTGTTTCTTACTGTGGCTGGGTTCCCTGGGCGGACGTAATATTCTTTGTGTATTTGTCATTCAGATTTCCTTCTTTGTGAATTATCCTTCCACACCCTTTACTTGTTTTTAAATTAGGTTTTCTTTTGGTTTTTGAGATGGACTCTCACTCTGTAGGTTGCTTTGGCTGGCCTGGTGCTTACTCTGTAGTCCAGGTGTAGCTGCAAATTCCTGGCAATCCTCCTGCCTCAGCTTCCTGAGTGTGGCATTAAGAGCCTCCCAAATGGAAAGAACTAGGAAAAAATCATCCTGAATGAGGTAACCCAGACCCAGAAAGACAAACATGTTATGTACTCACTCATAAATGGATATTAGCTGTAAAATAAAAGATAACTATGATAAAATCCACAGACCCAGAGAGACATGGAGTGTTCATGGAGAGATGCCTGGATCTCTCTGGGAAGGGGAAATAGAAGAAATTTTGTGAGTGGTCTGATGGCAGGTGAGGATGGGAACATGATCAGTCGGGTTGTTGGGGGCTGGAAGGGATTACTGGAAAGGGAAGGCATTTCGGGGTCAGGTAAAAACCTGGCACAAAGGAATCTCCCAGGAATCTACAAGGATGACCCCTGCTAAGACTCCTAGCAATAGTGGATACGTAGCTTGAACTGGCCGTCTCCTGTAACCAGATTGGTTATCAGAAGGGCTTCATCCAGTAACTGATAGAAACAGATGCACAGACCCACAGACAAATATTAGGTGGAGTTTAGGGAATCCAGCAGAAGAGGGGGAGAAAGGATTGCAGGAGCCAAAGGGGTCAAGGACACCACAAGAAAACATACAGAATCAACTAACCTGGGCTCACAGGGGCAGAAACTGACAGTCAGGGATCCTGCATGGGACTGACCTAGACACTCTGCATATATGTGTAGCTTGGTCCTCTTGTAAAACTCCTAACAGTGGGAGCAGGGGCAGTCTCCGACTCTTTTACTGGCATTTGGGACCCTACTCCTCATACTGGGTTGTCTTGCCTAGCCTTAATACATGGGGAGGTGCTTAGTCTTACTGCAACTTGATATTCCATGGGAGGCCTGCCCTTTCCTAAACAAAGGGGGAGTGGATTAGGGGAGTGGGAACGGAGGGAGAGTAGGGGGAGGGAGAAACTGCAGCTGGGCTGTAAAATAAATAAACAAATAAATTTATTTATTTAGAAAATAAAATGAGAAAGAATGAAAAAAAAGACCTGCGCCTCCCCACTTAGCTGTTAGTGGATTTCCTCCTTTTCTCTCTGGTCTGTAGGCGTTGTGCATGTTCCTTCATGACGTTAGATGCATGCGGGTGTCATTTTGTAGAGAGTCCAGCTCTGTTGACTTGTCTGCCATTCTTTGCTGAAATCCTCACCTTTGACATAGTCAAGTCAGTTCTTCTCTTAGGGCTCTAGGCCTTCTGAATGAAATCCTCCTTCATCCCACAGGTTGCAGGAATATTTTTCCTATTATTTTTTGTTAGATTTTTACCTGTCATTTATGAGACTTCTGTCATTGTGTGTGATGTGCCCCGCCCCCTTTTACACTGGGGGGGGGGACATAATTGAGCTTGTATTTTGATCTTTATGCTGAATATCTCAGTGAATTTTGAGGCTGATGCCAGTGGCTTGTCAACTAAATCTCCTGGATTCTTTTTACTTGTGTTTATGTCCTTATTCGTTTTATGTTGCTATGGTAATATACCTGGATAGTTCATAATGGAAACACATAGCTGGGTGCAGTGGCACAGGCCTTTAATCCTAGCCCTTGGGAGGAGGAAGGTAGGTGGATCTTGGTGATTTTTGAAGCCAGTCTTGTCTACATAGTAAGTAGAGAGTTGAAATAATACAGTGTCAGCATTCTGGCAAGGGCACCATGTCAGTTGAGAAAGCAGAAAGAAGCTAGGTGTATACCTGAGGGCAAAGCCAAGGCAGCACACTCACTCCACGACAGCCCATTCTTTTTTTGGGGGGGTTTTGGAGACAGGGTTTCTCTGTGTAGCTTTGGAGCCTATCCTGGCACTCGCTCTGGAGACCAGGCTGGCCTTGAACTCACAGAGATCCACCTGCCTCTACCTCCCCAGTGCTGGGATTAAAGGTGTGCGCCACCAATGCCTGGCCTGATTGCCCATTCTTAAGGGAACTAATCCAGTCCCATGAAGACCTGTTCCTTCAGAGAAAGTATTAATCTATTCATTAAGCAGAACCCACTAAGCCTCCTTGCTGTCTTTCAGGACTCACTTCTTGTAAGTTCATCTTCTTAATGTCTGCTCTGGAGGCCAAGCTTCTAGTACTCAAACACTTAGGGACAAACCATAGCTATAAATTTTCTTTTTCTCATTCTGTCCCTTAGACCTCATTTCTTTTTGTACTTACTGGGATTTTCAGTTAAGTGCTGACAGTGGCGCTGATGACATCCTTGTCCTGCTGCTGAACAATCTTAGACCAGTTCATTTTTAAACTTTATTATGTGTGTGTGTGTGCCTATGTGTCCATGGGAGTACAGGTGTCTATAGACCAGAAGGAAGTTTCAGGTCTCCTGGAGCTGGAATTATAGGTGGTTGTGAGCCACCTGACATGGATGCTGGGACCTGAACTCGGGTCCTCTGAAGGAGTAGTATGTGTGATCTTAACCTCTGAGCCATCTCTCCAGCTCCAGTTCATTTCTTCTTTAACTTTCAAATGCTCCATAGTATGAGGAGTCCTTATCATAGACACTTGTCTTCAATTATCTGCCCCTGTGACACCTGTACAGTGCTCCTTGTGTAGTAGGCTTTCAGTGTTCTATTAATGAGTCTGACTCTCATGGGCTCTATGTAAAACTCGTTTGGGATTTCTGTTGGTTGTAGTGATAAGCACGGGCAATGTTTCCATGTTGATTACTTAACATTTATCTTGCTGTATATGGAAACAGAATAATGCTGTAAGGATTCAGTGCTCTTAACATGTAGTGCTCTATTGTATGAAAGCTAACCAAGGGGCTGGAAAGGTGGCTCAGTGGGTTCACTTCTCAGCAACCACATGGCAGTTGACAACCATCTGTAACTGCATTTCCAGGGAATCTGATACCCTCTCCTGGCCTCCTTGGGCACTGCATGAAAGTGGTGAACAGACATACATGCAGGCAAAACACACATACACATAAAATAAAAACAAGTAAATCTTAAGAGCTAGTCAATATAACCCTTATTGTTATTTTTACCATATTTATGTCATTAATTATGGAATTGATTAATACAGATGTTTAGAAGATTGATTAATACAGATGTTTAGAAGATAGGAGTTAAATAACTTAATCCCAGTACACTGCCACATCTCTTCTTACCATTGTGTGTCTTTCATATGCATGTAATTTCCAGAGCTGTAATGCTGTCATATTTGTAAATAATCAGTATTTAAATTTTTTTGGCTGTTTAACAAGTGCTTTCTAGCCAGCTGAGGTGGCTTATATCTACTATCCTAGCAACTGTGAGGCTGAGGCAAGAGGATTGCTGTAGGTTTTAGGTCATCCTGGGACCTATAGGGAATTCCAGGGGGCCTGAGCTATAGTGTGAGACCCTGTATTAAAAGGGGAGAGTGAGGGAGAAGAAGAGGACTTGTTGGTGAGCAGCAAATGAGCAAGGTATCACAGGTTTTTCCATCCTTACAACCCTGAGTGTTTATACTTGTTCAGTTATCTCTGAAATAGATGTAGCATGGTTAGTTGCATACCTACTTTCATTGGATATTTGTAGTTTGTTTTTTTGTTTTTTTTTTTTTTTTGGTTTTTTGAGACAAGGTTTTTTTGTGTAGCTTTGGAGGCTGTCCTGGCACTCACTCTGGAGACCAGGCTGGCCTTGAACTCACAGAGATCTGGGATTAAAGGTGTGTGCCACCAACACCCGGCGGATATTTGTAGTTTTTATTAAATTAATAGTGCTGCAATAGATGTTTTTATGAATGATGGCTCCCACTCCTCCTGTAGTAAAAGAAATAGGTATACTGAGTCTGAGGATGTGAAAGTTTGTGTGGTTCTCAATAAATTCAGCTTTTCAGGAGGATTGTACCAATTTATAGTAGTTTACTGACAACAAATGAGAACTTTGCATCCTTACAAGCTTTCAGGCTCCTATTGCTAACTTCTGTTTTTTTACTCTGGGTTTCTTTCAGATTCTTGTCTTCTACTTTCTGAGATGTCTCCTGGCTTTTGTGAGCTGTATTTGTGAACTTTACTTTTATAAGTAAGTATCAAAGCTTTGCATCCAAAAGTGCTATGGACTTCACCGTAGCACAGATCTCTGACAGCTCAGGCAGCTGTCAGAATACTTTCCTTCTCTCCTGGGGGTGCTCTAGCTGAAGGGGGATGCCTTGTCTGGAAAGTAATGAGGAGCAGTGCTTCTAGCTACTGTTCCCATTGGCATACCTCTGATTTTAATTTGCAGTACATGTCTCGCTAGTCTTAGATTTGAAACCTTATTTTGGGTTCTAAGTGATTCACTTCTTCCCTGGAGCTGAGCTGATGGGAGACTATTCCCAGTGTAAGATTCTGCTTTCAATTGTACTCAATACATTGCCTCACACCAGTCTAGCTCTCAGTAGATTGAATTGTAATGAGTCCATTATACATTTATGTATTCTAGCAATAAAATAGCTGCCTTTTAAAAAATGTAACACATAAAACCATTAAATTTAATAGTGCCTTAACACATTAAAAGAGATACTCAGACTTACGGATCATTATTAAAAGTCTTCCCATAGCTAGGTGTGCCAGATTAAAATGAATTTTTGGTCTTAACTCTGAGAGAGGTAAAAACAAAACCAGTACTGCCTTTGGGGATTGTAGCCATAAGTTGGTTTTCATGTGGATTTGGACCTGATTTCAAATCATCCATTTCATCTCCTAAGTCTAGATTAGTAGAGGTCCCTTGCATCAAGTAAAGATTTCTCTGGAGAAGTGGAATCTTAACCCAGATGTCAGAAAATCACCAGGAATAATATTCTAATGCACGTCTATGGGATCTCTAACAATCCCTAGTGCACAAATGGACTTTGAAAGCCCATTCCCTATGGAGGGATACTATTTCAGCCCAGATACATGGAGGAGGGCCTAGGCCCTCCCCCAAATGATGTGACAGACTTTGATGATCCCTCATGGAAGACCTCACTATCCTTGGAGAGTGGGTGGGTGGGGGTTGGTGGGGGGGCATGGGAGGATGGGAGGGAGAGGGAATGGGGGATTAATATGTAAAATAATATTGTTTCTAAATAAAAGAAATTATAAAAAAAACCAAAAAAATTCTAATGTACAAGACAGTATGGTGAAGTCAGGCTGGGGAAGTAGCTCTGCAGTAGAGCACTTGCTTCATGTGCACAGGGCTCTGGGTTCAATTCCCAGGAGGGCATGGGAACAAAGAAGTCACAATAAAAGTACCACACAGATCAGGGAAATCACAAAAAGAGACAAGATATTGAAGAGCTAGCAGAAATAAAAGTCATCAAAAAGCTGACCTGTAAATCTTCATTTATTATGAATTATTGAAATGAAAACAGTATTTACTGTATGTAGAGAAGTGAAAGAAGGAACTGAAACCATGAAGAGAAACCATAACCTCCAGATATGACCAGGCCAGGGTGAAAAATAGTAAGGACAGAGATGAAAATGTAGTTATTTAGTATTGAATATATAAGATTTATATAATATTGACGTTTAAAAATCAGTAGATAGTTTAAACAGATTAAGACTGCTAATAAAGAAAGTGGGAAAATGAAAGATAAATTTGAAGAAATTTCTAGGAATAAAATATAGAGAAAAATACAGAGGCAGTTATGTGTAAGGTATCTAGATCTGATGGAGAGATGAGAAGAGGCAGTATTCAGGGAAGTGTAGCTCACAGTTTTCAGAGATAGTAGGAAAGGTAGTAATCCATAAATTCAGTAAGTCTTGCATCTTAATATGGGAATATAAAAAGAACTTAGTAAAATTGTGTAAAACACATAAAAAATGTGAGCAGCACTTACTGAACTCAGTGGGGGGTTTTGTTGGTTTTTTGTTTGTTTGTATATTTATTTATTTGTTGGTTTTTCAAGACAGAGTTTCTCTGTGTAGCTCTGGCTGTCCTGGAGCTCATTTTGCAGACCAGGCTGGCCTTAAACTCACAGAGATCCACCTGCCTCTATGTCCCAAGTGCTGGGATTAAAAGCATGAGCCATCACACCCAGCGCTGCTATTGATTTTAGTAAGTGTTTGTTCATGTGTTAGGCATGTCCTCACCCAGGCTTATTTCATCTGTGTTAAGAACAGCTTTTGCTGAACAACTTTGTGTGCTAGGCACTTTACCAATTATTTTTCCCACATTAACCCCCACAGAAACTTACGTAGGCGTGGTTGCTATTCTCATTTTTACAGATGTGGGCTCTGGTAGATTATGTGTGTGTGTGTGTGTGTGTGTGTGTGTGTGTGTGTGTGTGTGTGTATGTATGTATATATGTATGCATGTATATATAATTAGTCACTGCTAGTAAATGGCAGAGCCAGAATTTGAACCTGCCTGAACCTGAGGTGTGTTATTTCTCACTAAACCATGCTATTTCCCTTTTGATAGTAGACATCATTTTAAATATGCAGCTTTTTAAAAGAAGATGCCTTTGTTCTGTGCCAAGAGTAAGAAGTCAGTTTCTCATGCACATGAAATTCCTAACAACTTTTAACCACATTTCCTCTTAAGGAGCTTTTCTGTGTCAAAAGTAAGAGGTTTGGGTTTCTTATGTATAGGAAATTGCTAACACGTCTAGACAGTTCTATATTTGACTTTAGCTCTTCATTGTTATTTCTCACACAGGCCTTCAGTTCGTCTTTGCTTTGCAATGTCTGTCTCTTAGTATCCACAATATTAATGCTCTTTACAATATTAATGGTCTTTATCTTTTCTTTGAGGGCTGTGTGCAAGAAATTCGGGCTGCATGTGAGTCGAATGATGCTGGCCTTCTTGGTGCTCAGCACTGGCATGTTTTGCTCATCGTCTGGTAAGTACAAGGGCAGATGAGGGGGTATCGAGTTTACCTTCCTATACAGTTGCATTGAAAGGAAGCACTTGTCTAACAAGGTTGCAAACATGAATGCTTGGCAGGTCAATTGTGTGACCTGCACAAATTCATGAGTAGTAGCTCCACAGTCTCACCAGATACTTTCTGTTCCCTCCTCTTCCCAATGGCTCACCTCCTTTCTTGGCCATTAGCGGGAGGAAAGTATTTTTGATCGATGGTTCTGTTTTTCTGTTTTCTGCCTGTTATTTAAGCTGTTTTGTTTTGTTTTCCCCGAGACAGGGTTTCTCTGTGTAGCTTTGGAGCTTGTTCTGGCACTTGCCCTATAGGCCAGGCTGGCCTCGAGGGATTAAAGGTGTGCGCCATCACTGCCTGGCTGGAGCTGTATTCTATAGAGGTTGCATCTCTTGGGCATTTATTTATTTATTTATTTATTTATTTATTTATTTATTTATTTTTTACATTTCAATCCCAGTTCCCCCTCCCTCCTCTTGTCCTACTCTCCCTACTTCCCCCTCCCCCACCTCCCATCTGCTCCTCAGAGAGAGGGTAAGGCCTCCCCTAGGAAGTCTACTAAGTCTGTCCCATCATCTCCTTGAGGCAGGACCAAGACATCTCTCCATCCCCAACACCCCTGTGTCTAGGCTTGGCATGGTATCTCTCCATGTAGAATGGACTCCACTAAGTCAGTTTGTGCATTAGTGTTAGATCTTGGACCCCCTGCCAGTGGCCTCATGTAATGTCCTAGCTACACCATTGTCACCTATATTCAGGGAGTCTAGTTCGGTCTTATGCAGGTTCCCCATTTGCCAGACCAGAGTTAGTGATCTCTCACTAGCTTGGGTCAGCTGATTCTGTGGGTTTTCCCATCATGGTCTTGACTCCTTTGTTCATATTTTTGCTCCTCCCTCACTTCGATTGTACTCCAGGAGCTGGGCCCAATGGTTAGTTTTGGATTTCTGCATCTGTTTCCATCTGTTTCTGGAAAAGGGTTCTAGCTTCTCTGGGTTTGTGGATTATAGGCTGGGTATCTTTTGCTTTATGTCTGGTATCTATTTAAGAGTGAGTACATCCTATATTTGTCTTTCTGGGTCTGGGTTACCTCACTCAGGATGGTTTTCTTCTAGTTCTGTCCAGGCATTTATTTTTATAGTTAGCGTCTGGACACTTAGAGTAAAGGTTCTAAGTGGGACTGCTGGCTTTCCAGCTGTGCTGCCTTTGAACACCTGCATTCTGTGGACTAAGCTAAAACAGCCTGCTGCAAAAGATAAGTTGTTCCCAATTCTCCCAAAAAATTGTCTTGCTAAATTATTTCAATTTTAGTTTATGCTTATATAATCAAGAATCTAGTCTGTACACAAAATATACAAAATAGTACCTTGTACAGAGTTACATGGTTAGCATTTTCATTGAATATATCAAAATGAATGTTCTATAGGGACCTCTGGGCTCCACCCTAGACCAGCTTTGAAATCCACTGTAGTAAATACGTGTGCTTCATCAAGATTAGCAGAGATCTTAGATATTTCTATTCTTTTGTATTCTGCATTGGCAGCTAGAGTTGACTTCAATGTTATTTAGCGTCTGTCTGTGAAAGTTGCACTTCACATGTTTTATGTTTTAGGTACTTTACTAATCCAGAAACATATTTGTATGTATGGGGAGCTTCCTGTGAGTATCTTTAGTTTTCCAGTGTCAGTTGAGGCACTCATGAATTCAGTCTTTACTGTAGAGCCTTTGAAGTAGACCCTTGCTGAGTGTCTTAATCTTAAATCTCAGGCCTATTCATTGTAGTTCTTGTTAGAATCAAATGATTTTTCTGCTCCACAAATCGGGCCTTATAAGAAGCAAAATTTTTGTTTAGAGTTGTTAGGAATGTATTGCTGCTGTTACAGAGGCCTTGAGCGAGTTCAGATTGTTGCATTCCATGACAAAATTATGGTAGTTGTAATAATTAAGGGGCTATGCCAAGGCCAGAACATAGCTCTGAGCCTTGAGAAGGCTTCCTAGAATCTCTGTAGGGTACAGGTATGAACCAGAATGTCTTGCAAGCATATCAGAAGATAAGCTGAAGGAACCAATACATCGTCTATAATTGGTCTAAGTCTTTTGAATCGTATACCCTGCACAGAAATAATGTCGGAGGTCCCTGGATTTTGTATTTTTTTTTTTTTTCTTAAGATTTATTTATTTATTTATTTATTTATTTATTTATTTATTTATTTATTTATGTATACAGTGTTCTGCCTGCATGTATCCCTGCAGGCTAGAAGAGGGCACCAGATCTCATTACCTATGGTTGTGAGCCACCATGTGGTTGCTAGGAATTGAACTCAGGGTCTTTGGAAGAGTAGGCAGTGTTCTTAGCTGCTGAGCCATCTCTCCAGCCCGATATTTTTGTAAGTTTTACATTTAGGTGCAGGCCAGGAGGGGAATGGATGACTAGGATTGTGTAACTTTGGGGCCTTGTGTACATGGAAAAAAGGTGTGAGGAAATAAAAATCAGTGCATTTTGTTTTCTGAAAAGGAATGTCCTCTGACTACCCATTTCTTTCCCTTCCTCCATTTCTTTGTGTACTTCTTTTTACCCAGGGTCTCATGGCCCAAGACAGCGTCTCTTGTGTCCTCAAGCTTGCCACATAACTGGAGATGCCCTTGAACTTCTGATCATCTTGTATCTACCTCCCGAGGGCTGGGATTATAGGCGTGTGCCACTATACCCAGTTTTTTGTGGTCCTAGGAATTGAACCCAGGGCTTTGTGCATTTTAGGCAAGCACTCTATCAACTGAGTCATGTCGCTAGCCTTACTGTGATGGGGGATGTCCTTCTGTTTATATGTTTCTCTTATTGGTTGATAAATGAAATACTGTTTGGCCAATAGAGGCAGGAAGATAGGGAGAACTAGGAGACGAGGAGAATTCTGGGAAAGGTAGGCAGAGAGAGATGTCATGTAGCTGGCAAAGGAGTAATAGGTCCGGACATTCTCCAGTAAGACAAGACCTCATGGGAATACATAGATATAGAAATGGCTTAATAATTAAGACAGAGCTAGCCAATAAGAAGCCCTAGCCATCGGCCAACAGTTTTATAATCAGCATAGTGTCCATGTGTTTATTTGGGGCTGAAGTGGTGGGACCTGGTGGGACAAGAGAAACTCCAGCTGCATTACTGCTTGTTTCTAATAGTGTTTTCCAAAAATAGCTTCATAATTATTGGCATTTTGCTGTGCAGGTGAATTTTTAAGAGTCAGCATCTAATCTCAGACTTTTGTTTCTTTTTCATTTCTTTACTCTTGTAGCATTCCTTCCTAGCAGCTTCTGCATGTACACTACATTGATCGCCATGACTGGATGGTATATGGACAAGACCCCCATTGCTGTGCTGGGAGTAGCAGCTGGGGCTATCTTAGGGTGGCCATTCAGTGCAGCCCTTGGGTAAGAAACTTAAGTTATTCTTCTGTAGGTCACCAGACATCTTGTCAATTCTAATGTTGTCCAGCCAGCAGTTAAAGTTAAAGGAATCAGTTTGACTGATGAAGACTCTGGGAACAAAAGCATATTGTTTTTTTATGTGATTTATTCTAATGAGAGTAATGACTACTTAGCTCCTGCTGAATGCTAGGCATTACTAGCATTACCAAACCCTTCACAAATTTTATTTCTAAATTTTACAACTATGTATAATGATTAGTTTTTCTTTTCTTTTTTCTTTTTCTTTCTTTTTTTTTTTTTTAATGTGTGTGTGTGGGGGGGTGTTTGTTTTATTGAGACAGGGTTTCTCTGTGTAGTTCTGGCTGTCCTGGAACTTGATCTCTAGACCAGACTGGCCTTGAATTCACAGAGATCCACCTGCCTCTGCTTCCCAAGTGCTGGGATGAAAGGCTTGCACCACCACCAGCAATAATTAGTATTTTATAAATGAGAATATAGACAGTAAGATTTGAGGTAATTTGCCTCTAAAATTATGCTTGCTTTTTAGAGAGCTTTTACTAGCATGTGTTAGTTGTACATACTGGGTTTCACTATGACATTTTCATGTATGCAGTGCATTTCAGCCATATCCCTCTGTGTTCACTGGGTTGTCCCCTCCCTCTCCTGCTAATCCCCTTCCTTTTTCTTCTAAAGCTTGCTGTTTTCTCACACTACTCTATTCTTTGCTGCATATTTTCCTTGTCACCCAGAATTGAAATGTTTCCTTTTGTCCTTTTCTTTAAAAAAAAAAAAAGTGCAAGGGTGCATGTATGTCTGTGTGCCACATGTCTGCAGTATTCCTGCAGGCTAGAAAAGGACGTCAGATCCTCTGGAACTGAACTGCCAGGTGGGGTCTCTGGAAGAGCAACCTGTGCTCTTAATCACTAAAGCATTTCTCCTGCATCCCTTCCCTTTTCTTGCTCCAGTGTCTTCCCCAGTTCAGTGGTGTCCACTGTCTTCCACACTCTTTGTTTCTACTACTTCTTTCCTAGTGTGTGCTGCCTTAACTTCTTGACTATACTAGAGAATTGGTTCAGTGATTAAGATCACATGCTGCTCTTGTAGAGAACCTGAATTTGGTTCCCAGCGTCCATGTTGGGTGTCTCACAACTGCCTGTAACCATAGTTCCAGGGAATCTTCTGGACTTTCCTGGCACCAGTGCTCACATGTATAATACATATTATACACATAATTAAAATTTCAACCTTCATAGTTGTTGTTTATGTTATTTAAAATATAAAATTTCATATATTTGAAAGTATCTATAGGGTATAGTGCAGTAGTAAAATGTTTGCCTAGAATGTGTAGGACCTCACCACAGCAACAAATAAAGAGCAGGTTTATTGAGGTGAAAAGGATTCTTGGAGAATGGGGAGATTTGCCTGAGGACTCAGGTTCAATCCCTAGCATCCACTTAAAGGCAGGTGTGGTGCTTCTGAAATCCCAGGGCTGGGGTAGACACTGAAGAGTTCCTAGAGCTCACTGGTCTCGCTGAACTAATAAGCTCTAGGGTCAGTGGCTGACCCTCCCTCAAAAAACTATGGTGGAGATCCACTGAGGGAGCGTTGTCTCAGCAAAAAGATACTGGCTGTACAAATCTGGAGATCTGAGTTTGATCCCTGTGATCCACATACATGTGGAAGGGTCAGAACTGACTCCTCAGAGTAATTTATTCTCTGACCTCCACAAACGCCATGGTGTATGTACCGGCAGACCCACACACATGAAAATTTAGTTATTTACAAGTTAAAGATACATAGTAAAATGTTAGTTAATTTCAGAAGGGAAAGGTCAGTATTTGTCAGGTAGGTGTGGGGTAACAGTGTACATGAGTTTATAATGAATATGTCTTACATGTCTAGTACATGTAGGTCAGTGTCAAGATGGTCCAGCAGCATAGTGTCTGTTTCTTGTCCATCTGTGGCAAACATCTAGCCTATTTTTGAGAAGACATCTTGTCACATACCAGCTTCCTTTCTTCTGTGCTCCTGGGCAAGCGGTTTGCTTCTCTGCTCAGCGTAGGTGTGTGTGGCTCTGTCCCGAGTGTTTAGTGCTTTACTAATGCATGCCTTACTGTGTTTCTCTATTGAATAGTTTACCCATCGCCTTTGACTCACTGGCCATGAAACACAGATGGAAGAGTTTCTTTCATTGGTCACTGGTGGCCCTAATTCTCTTCCTGGTGAGTTTCCTTTTTCTTGTTTCACTCTCGTGTTCTAAGTAGTTTCTGATGCAGGGAAGCAAACATCAGGAGTTCATGTTATTTTTCATTGTGAAGTTTTTCCAGTAGCATTTTGAAAGCTACATCTGATGTTTTTCTTTTACTTTAGGTGCCCGTGGTGGTCATTGACAGCTACTATTACGGGAAGTTGGTGATTGCGCCTCTCAACATTGTTCTGTATAATGTCTTCACTTCTCATGGGCCTGATCTTTATGGTAATGTAAGACTTTAGAAAATTTGAGGAAAAAGTAGAAAACAACTTTATTTACCTGAGCTTCACGATTTTAATCCAGTTTTCTCATTTCTTCAACTATATCCCTCCCTCCCACCTCCTTCCCTATGTGGTTCAGGTGTAGTCCTAATTGGCCTTGAACTCCTGATCCTCCTTCTCCATTCTAGTACTGCACTGGCCAAATGTGGCAGTTTGCGCTGTGTCATTTTCTACCTAACACAAAGCTTTTGACTGTAGTGCAGTGATAACATAGCCCAGTGTCTCCTTGACTGGAGTGTGTGGTTAGCACTGACCCTTTGTGCTGTTGAACATTATCCCCAGATACAGACTTAGAGAGCTTTAAGGAGTGTTGGCTATGCATGGTGTCACTTTGTAGTCAAACCTAGCCTCAAACTTGTAGCAATCCTCCTGACTCAGCTTCCCAAGTGACAAAACGACAAAACTGCAGGCTTGACCATCCATGCCTGTCTTATGCTATGGTTTTGATGCTTTTAAATTTTTTTAATCATAAACTACTCTTGAAGTGATCATGGTGGTGCATGCCTATAATTCCAGTACTGGGAGATGGAAGCAGGAGTAGCAGTTGGAGGCTAGCTACATAGCAAGTTTGAGGCCAGCTTGGGCTACATGAGACCCCCATCTTAAAAAACAATAGCCGGGTGTGGTGGCTCACGCCTTTAATCCCAGCACTTGGGAGGCAGAGGCAGAGGCAGACAGATCTCTGAGTTTGAGGCCAACTTGGTCTACAGAGTGAGTTCCAGGGCAGTCGGGCCATGGTTTTTACATAGAGAAACCAAATCTCAAAAACAAACAACAACAAAACAAATACAAACCAACAACAACAAAACCCAAACTTCTATTATCAGAAAATGAATATAATAATAAAAAGAGAATAAATACATAGCCCCATCTCCATGTAGTATTAACTTTTAGGAGTATATCCCTACATATGTTCTCTATACATACACATTTAATGTTAGTTTTTTTTTTTTTTTTTTGGAAAGAAAGTTTGGAAGATCTACAGAGTGAGCACATGAGACTAGAGTCAGCAGGAGAGAATGAGTAGATTGGCCACTTTAAGAGAAACTAAATGTCTGTAATTCCTCTGGGATATAGTCCCCAGGTACCTGGGTACCTCCATCTCTTACCCACCCACTCCACTCTAGTTTTATTTGACCCCTGAGTGCATTTGAGTAGGGTAGTTCCAGAAGGATGTGTAGAGGTTTTTCTAGATCAGCCAAGCCAGTAAATATGAGCAAATTTCACCCTTGGAATTAGTGTAGTTCCTTTTTCAACCGTCAAGGTATCTCCAGGGCATTCTCTATATTTGAATGTCCTGGCTTTGCTGGGAATCAGGCTGATATTATGTCTAGGTCCAGGTCAGCATCCATGTCCAGTATTTGTTTGGCGGCTTGGCCAGTTAAACCAGTAGCTTGCTTTGGGAGCCTCTAGGTGTCTCCCTTCAGCAAGGGAAAGTTTGCATGTTTTAAATTGCCCCTTAGTTTGGTTTATTTATAGGATTTCATTTCACTACAGTACAGACTTCGTGGTGAAAATTGATTTACATGTACCCAATTGGAAATATATCCATTCTTTATAGGTGAATGGGTTAATTTTGAAAAACTGGCTTCTCCACTTCCATAAATGGGCCATTATATTCTGGGTAGTCTGACTGCTTATTAAACTTTTTAAAGAATATATGAAACTGATGCATTTTTGTAGCCCTTTAGAGGCTCTAGAGATAATCAGGCTAGTAGGGAAAGTGGAGAGGAAAGGGCCTCTCTGATGTTCCTGGTCAATAGTGGGTTGGTTGGTCAAGGACCCTGCAGTGGGTTTAGGGATGTAGTAGAGCTGTGTCCAGTCTTGCCTTGGATGTTGGTGTCTTATTCACTTCACATACTGTGTGCTGAGAAGAGTCCTTAGAGTTTTGTGTCACTTCGTAAATCTGCTTTAATTTTAATCAATTTAGTTTTGCTATTTTGGATGTAGAGTATTGGTCACTCTCGGAGTAGTGGCAAAAGCTTTGTGGGGATTGTCTCACCAGCCATGAAAGCGATTGTGTATTGCTGTAGGTAGCTGGCCTTAAGTAAGTAAGTATAGAAGTATCCCAAGAACACAAATTCTACTCTGATCAGAATTTGAACTTGACAATTATTTTTTGTTTTCCTTTTCAAACCAGGGTTTCTCTGTCTTGGAACTCACTCTGTAACCCAGACTGGCCTTGAACTTGTGATCCTCCTGCCTCCTTCAGCAATGTGCCACCACAATTGGTGACAAATTATTTAAAAGTCTGATTTCCATTCTTGGTTTTCAGAGTTTTTGTTCTTTTTTCTGGAGGTGAGGACTGAATTGATTTCCATTCTTTAGGAGTGTTAGCTTCTCGTCGTTTAGATGCCTCCTGCAGAGAGAATACTATGTTAGCTTTGAGTTGGAACTCATTGTGCATTGTAGGTTTCCAATAAGAAGTTGTCAAGAAGAAATGATTGATTTCTAGATTATTAGTTAGAACCCTCATTAATGTTAGTCTTAGAACTGCTTTGGTTGGACCTGATAGAGTGCTGCCTTGGAATTTTTCTTGATACCAAATAACAATAATATATATAAATCACTTTAAAATGCTTGTTGGCTGTCAGTTGGCTCAGTCTCTGGGACCAGCATTGTGGATGCTTTGATGCTGTGAAGTCACTAGCTAAAGTCACTAATTAAAACCCAGAGAAGACAGTTTTCTATCTTGAAAATGTAGCCATTCAGAGGTTTTCTACAACATTAAATGAGAAAAAAAGAAGAAAGATGAAAGATTTTCTGAATGAGTGGCTTGTGACAGAACTTCCGTCCCTAACGGTTTAATTGTCTTTGAATAGGAATGCGCTTTTCCCGGAGGTAACACACAATTGAACCTGGGCCCTTTCTTCATGGACTCACTTCCTTCTTACTCCTCTAAGTGTCTCTAGCATTATGACTTTAGTTTCTAGCCTGATTTTGCTGTGCAAGCTACAAAAGAGTCAGGTTTTTCTGACTCTTCCTCTGCCACTTGATTACCCTTTGAGCAATGCTGATTGCTGGCAATTGCTATGGTGCAAGGCAGATGTCACAGCACACACTGATTAAAACCTGCATGTGTCATTCACTGCCTGATTGAAGTTAATCACACAGAGGGAAAAGCAGATGAGAAAATGTATAAATGTTCAGGGAAGGGAACTATTTATCTTTCAGGTTTAAGGATCTTGAGTTATAGAATAAAAGCTAGTGTGAGTGAGACTTGTGTTTCAACCATTTTTGCTTCATTCTTTATCCTTTGACTTCTGAGCAAGACCTGGGTCTCTGATTATAATGGGGGAGGGAACCTGGGGAGGCTGGAAAGATGGCTCAGTGGTTAAGAGGGTCTGCTGTCCTTGTAGGGGACCCAGGATTGGTTCCTGGTACCATGTCAGGCAGCTTACACACCTGTATCTACAGCTCTAGAGCAGTAGTTCTCAACCTTTCTAATACTGTGTCTCTTTAATACAGTTCTTCATGTTGTGGTGACTCCTAACCATTATTTTCATTAGCACTTCTAACTGATTTTTCTACTGTTATGAATCATAATGGAAACATCTGATATATAGGATATCTAGTATACAACCTCTGTGAAAGGGTCCTTCAACCTCCAGGTTAAGAACCATTGTTCTAGGGGATCTGATGTCCTCTTTTGGCCTCTGTGGGCACCTACACACATATATACACATAAAAAACACATAAAGAAACAACCATGCTAAGCTGCTGTTTTTTATTAAAACATACCGTTATGTTATACGCACACACGCACGCACACATGTGCATGTATCTGGCTCTACTGAACACTGAACCCAGGGCTTCATGAATGCTAGGCAAGTGTTCTACCACTGAACTATATCCCTAGCCCCAGCCCTGGGTTACTGCCTTTTTATGAAATGCATGGTGCCTTATGTGTGTGACTATAAAATAGAAGTTAAACTTTTCAAGGGGCTTCGTAGCTCCAAGCAAGTTTATCTGTTATTGGTCTGCAGAGTATTGAAACGGCAGTTAAATTCAAGTGGTGTTTTAGGTTTTTTAGCATCATGTGCTCTGTGCTCCTAAGCTACTAAATACTAGAAAGTGTTTGTCTCATTTGGGCATGGCATTTGGAGAAGGTACAGTAAATTTGTTTGAGTTTGTTGGTGTTGTCTTAAGATGGGGTAATTTATGAACAGAAATGTCTTTCTCCTGGAGGCTAGGAGCTCAGTATCAAAGCTCTTGCAGGATGAGTGCCTGGTGAGGGCTGAGCAGTGCAGTGTCACAAAATGACTACATCCTCTAGAGGAGAGGAATTCTGCATCTTCTATGGTAGGGAAGATAGACTAAATTCCTACTGATAGGAATAAATGGAAATAATTAAAACACAGTAATTCCCATCCAAAGTATCCTAACCTGTCTCTGTTTCCTGTCTTTGGCTCTGTGCTTCTCTGTGTGGCTGAGCACTAAAGAAAGCATATGCTTGTGGGTTTGTGTTTAGTTGAGTGCTGGATTGCAGTGTTTCTTGGGCAGAAGACAGTAAGGGTCAAATACTGTAACAGGTGTGGAAGGCATCACTAATGATCTCCTATCGCTTGTCTCCCTCAGGTACTGAACCATGGTATTTCTACTTAATCAATGGATTTCTGAATTTCAATGTTGCCTTTGCTTTGGCTCTTCTGGTCTTGCCACTGACTTTTCTCATGGAGTACCTGCTGCAGAGATTCCATGGTGAGTGGTTTAAGATATATGGTAGGTTTGGGGAGGAGAAGGCAAGTAACAGGTTAAATAGTAAGTGAAAAAACTGCTTAGTCTCCATTTTCTCTCTATAGAAATGGTTGAATAACTGAGATTTCAGTCTGTATTTGTAGGTCATTTAAACCCATGTTAAGGTTTGGTTAATTGTTTTAATTGAACAAGATGGAGCTTTGTATCCTCTTAAGGCAGCAGTTCTCAACTTGTGGGTTGCGATTCCTTGGGGTGGACTATCAGGTACTTACATTATGATTCGTAAACAGTAGCAAATTTACAATTATGAAGTAGCAGTGAAATAATTTTATGGTTGTGGGGGGATGTCACCTCAACTTGAGGAACTATATTAAAGGGTCACAGCGTTAGGAAGTTTGAGAACCACTTCCTGAAGGGAAGGAGGTTAGTGTGATTTTTACCATTATGAGGAAAGCAGAGACATTTGGAAAAGCTCAGGAGAGCAGCCTGTTTACACCATCCGCCTTGTAGAGGCATCTCGGTGATTGTTTACAGTGACCCATGCTGCAAGCAAGCACTCTGAAGCTGGAATTGAAGCAGCTGCTTAGCTGCTTTGGACTTGCTCCCGGCTCCCTCTGCTGTGTGGCACTCATGTTGCTTCTCTGACCCTATGTTACACAGCTGCTGTTTTCTCAAGTGGTGGAGCTGGTTATATCTGGTGCCTGCACTATGGAAGACGGATGAGCAGAAATTCATGAGAGATTTGGAAAGATTTAGCTGGATTTGCATGCCATATGATTGATCTTTCCTTCTCACCCATTCAGCTTTTCTTGTTAATAGTTTATACAGCATGTATTGTCTAGACAGTGAGGGGATCTTCACTCATTTAAAAAGACTTAGACAATGATTTGTTTGTGTGTGGGTGTGTGCATTGTGGAGGCCAGAGGAAAACTTTTAGGGGGCAGTTCTCCATTGTGGGATCAGGTTGTCAAGTTTATATGGCAGGGAAAATCGTTTTACCCACTGAGCCATCTCATTGGCCCGGGGTCAGGAGTACTTACTTCCAAAGAGTTCTGTAGTTGGACCACTGGTGTAGCAAGCTAAATCAGACAGCTGGGAGGGCTTTTGGCTGTCACGCTGTAGACATAATGAACACCAGGGGGTGCTGTCTGTCCACCTCTTGCCAGAATTTTGTATGTACCTCCATCATTGTCAATAATGCCAAGCCAGCATGATTGCCTTTTTCTCAGTGCTCTTGTAATGGCAAGAACTCTCCAGCAGGTGGTTGGGGCTGTGTTCCTATGTTCCTTTCACTCTTTCAAATCCTTTAAGTACATGCTGGTTCCAATTTTGTGATTCAGAGTAGATGCGGATTATAAAGAGAGAAAATGTAACCAGGAAACTTCCTTTTAGAATATTTTATGTTTGCTTTGAACACTGTCAGCTGAACATGGTAATACTCCTGTAATCCTAGCATTCCAGAAAACGAGGCAGTTGGTGCCAGTTTGAACAACAGAACAAAGCATAGCAGCTGGATTGGGGCTTTATGAATAGAATAGGGTTCAAGAATTGAACTGATTTTTCTTTTTATCTATGCCTATTTTAACAAACCCACTGTCGTGTGGATAAAAGGATTACTACTCGAAGTGTATTTGGTTAATTTGGGGAATCTTTACTCTTAGTGGCAGGACACATTACAGAGAATATGGTTTTTTTCTTTACCCAACTAGAATTTATTAAGTTCTTTCCCTTGTGTTTTAACTATCGTACCTCCCTCTAAGCTTTGGATCTCTTGAAAGAACTCAAGAGTATGTTCCTTTCTGTTTGGTGTCTCCATAATGTTAGAATGAGGGTAAATTCCTAAGTTGAGATATTTTATGGGATGTCCTCATGGTATCAAATTTAAATTTAAAAAAACTTTGAAATAAAATATATTGTTTGGTTTTCATATAATGACAGAGGCATGTTATTTTGTCTTGCAGTTCAGAATTTAGGACATCCATATTGGCTTACCTTGGCACCAATGTATATTTGGTTTATAATTTTCTTCATCCAACCTCACAAAGAGGAACGGTTTCTTTTCCCAGTATATCCACTTATATGTCTCTGTGGCGCTGTTGCTCTTTCTGCACTTCAGGTGAGTTTCAGGGAAACGATTGTCTGCCTCTTTTTGGTTTATTTATTACATGAATGCTTGTAAAACTTTTAAGTGCAGGTAGATGTCTGTGAGCTCCAGGCCAGCTGGTCTCCATAGTGATCCCCAGGCCAGCCAGCACTAGCCTGTCTCAATCAACAGTAGCAACAGCAAAAACCCTTATAGATAAATTACAGAGTGCACCTCTAGCTATAACATAAAACCTGCTGCAGATCATACTCTGAAAGCTTTATGTATTGATAAGGACACATCTCACTATTTGCTGATCATGTTTATAATGTTCATTTGTCTCCTGTCAACAGGATCCGTTTCCTAACACACTTTAACTTATCATATAGGCCACTATATATGGTGACACTGGGTCAGACTAAACACAATGTGTGTGCTACAACTATTAGATCAAGATTTTGGTATTATATCAGACAATTGGCAATGTTGGGACAGTTTATAATCCTGATTTAAAGCTTGTCCAGGCCAATTCTCCTGCAGAGTTAATCTTACATTTGTTAGATTATCTCTGTGTTTATGGTCTCAACATTTCGAGGCCCTCTCTTGCTCTTGCTGTCATTTGCAATTGTCAGGGAAAGAAAAAAATAAGGTGATAGTTTTTTGTTTTTAACAGATTTATTAAGTGAGAACTCAAAACTATGAGTTCAGTTTTTCAAGTGTTTAACTTAGTGGCTTTAGCATATTTGCAGATGTTTGCAGTTTAGGACATTTTTATCACCTCAAAAGTCCCATGCTCTTTACCTATTACCCCCAACCCTTTGTTATGGTATTTCTCAGTACACTATCACTAATCTCCTTTGTATATAAATTTGTCTATTCTGTACATCCCATGTGAATGAAATCTTCAAATATGTGCTCTTTTATGACTGGCCTCTTTCACGTGGTATAATGTTTTAAGGCTTGTCTATGTTAGGGTGATATTATATATAGTAAATATATATAATATGTGTTATATGGTTATATATATTACATATTACATTTGTATATATATGTATAAAACTTATATAAATTTTCTTTTGAGATGGGGGTCTCACTGTGTAGTCTTGGTATGTAGACCAGGTTGGCTTTGGACTCCAGAGACCCATTTGCCTATACCTCCCTAGTTCTGGGATTAATGGTGTGTGCCACCATGCCCATCAGGGTGATATTTTTAAAAGATTATTTGTGAAAGTATAACTTCATGTGAGATAATTTAGAAATTGCTGAAAACATTTCATCTTCTATCAAGACACCTTATACTTTTGCATCATATGTATCAAGTTTATTATGATAATAGGCATGCATGTAGCTTTATAATTTTAACCTTTGTCATAATATTGTCATATCTAAAATACTGATTTTATTCAGATATTTCAAATTAAGTTGCTAGTGTTGGGGCTTACATCTATGGTCCTATACTTGAGGGGTAGAAGCAAGAACCTTGCAAACTACTGGGGGGGATGCAGAGTAAAATCCTGTCTTGAAAAGCCAAAAAGGAAAAAACATGAGAACTTTATGCACCAGCAAAAATACACACATTATTTTCCTCTGATACTAGAGTTCATTTTTGTAAAGTTGGCTGGCTAAACAGACCTGCAGACAGCAGTAGGAGAGTTGAGTTTGGTCTTTGAATTTGGAATGGGTACCACACCAAGTGTTTCCACATTCTTATAAGGGTATGAGAGGTACCTCACACTCCTTGTTCTGCATCCCCAGTGTTTCTGTGATGGCGCGTGGCTGTGTATATTGTTTTTGTGATGCTGTGCATCTTTTTTATTAATACAGTTGCCTTTCTTTCTAGAAATGTTATCACTTTGTATTTCAACGATATCGCCTGGAGCATTACACTGTGACATCCAGCTGGCTGGCATTAGGAACAGTCTTCCTGTTTGGGCTCTTGTCATTCTCTCGCTCTGTGGCTCTGTTCAGAGGTAGACATTCTGGGAGTGCCTTAACCCACACCCACAAAGAACTTCACTTTCAGGTTTACTTGTAGCATGTGGTTGGCTTATGTTGGGTGGAGGTGTGGCTCAGGACTGAAAGGAGATTGCTAGATCTTCATGTCATTACACATTTCCCCCTCCAATAGCATTGATCCCCCCCCCTTTTTAAGTTAAAAATTTTTGTGTGAAATAGGTATTTTGTCAGAATGCATAAGTACCAAATGGGTATCTGATGCCTGTGGAGACAAGAAGAGGGCATTGAATTCCCTGGAACTGGAATTACAGACAATTGTGAGCGGCCATGTGGTTGCTGGGAATTGAACCTGGGATCTCTGGAAGAGCAGCCAGTACTTTTAACTGCCGAGCCATCTCTCCAGCTTTTTTCCCTCCTTTTTAATGGCTGCTACTAATGTAATGAAGCCTAAATATATTATGCAAATTGGAGCTAAGTTCTCATGGTTAAATATTTCCTAATAACCATTATTGGGGTCATAATAGTAAAATATACCCAAAGAATAGAAAATTTAGAGGGTAAAGTGGTCAAAGAACAAGAAAGGTTACATTTGACAAATAAGGCCTCCACTGTGGTGGTTGTCCCACCAAGAGAGAACCTGCTGGTAGAGCAGGTTTCCCACTGAGCTGCTGTGTGCTTTCATAGTCTTATAAATTTCATGTGGATTATAGTGGGATATTAATGAATTATAATTAAAAGCTAGAACCTCATCTTTGGCTTTCCCAAACTCTTCTCCCTTTTTAGGATATCATGGGCCCCTTGATTTGTATCCAGAATTTTACCGAATTGCCACAGACCCAACCATCCACACTGTCCCAGAAGGCAGGCCTGTGAATGTTTGTGTGGGAAAAGAATGGTATCGATTCCCCAGTAGCTTCCTTCTGCCTGATAAGTAAGTTGCCCTTTAATTCATAGTCTTACTGTGTGTGTGGAGGGTATATGTGGGCTTGGTGATACGTGTGTGTGTGTGTGTGTGTGTGTGTGTGTGTGTGTGTGTGTGTGTACACAAAAATGTCAGAGGTGGGCATAGAGTGTCCTCTTGTATCACTCTCTGCCTGTTCCTTTGAGGCAGAGTCTCTCCCTGTACCTGGAGCTTGCTGCCTCCTTTTTTTTTTTTTTTTTTCCAGCTAGGCTGGGTCCCACTCAGTAAGCCCCAGTGGGATCCTCTTGTCTCTGCTGGCCTCAGTGCTGAGGTTACAGGTGTGCATGGGATGTCTGGTGTGTTAATGTAGGTGCTGGCATCTGAACTCTGGCCCTCAGACTTGCACACATTGCGTTCTTAACCACTAACCCATCTCTCCAGTCCCTAATTCTCAGCATTTTATTTATTTTTTTTTAAAGATTTACTTATTTTTATTTCTTGCATGCATGAGTGTTTTGCTTGCATGTATTTATGTGTACCACATGCATAGCCTGCACACAACTAGGCCACAATAGAGCATCAGATCCTCTGAAACTGGAGTTAAAGACAGTAGTTTGCTTCCATGTTGGGGCTGGAAACTGAACTCGGGTTCTCTGCAGGAATAGTAAATGCTCTTAACTTTTGAGCTATCTCTTGAGCCCCATTTCCCAGAAATTTATATCAAAAAGTAGCAGTTCTATGGCAAGATTGTGTTAGGGTTTATTTGTTTTGGAGGGTTTAAGTTTTTTTCTTTCGGGATGTATGTATATGTGTCTATATTTGGGATACATGCACCTATGTGTAAGTGTGGAGGCCAGAGGTCAGCTTTGGGTGTCATTCCTCAGGCATGTCTGCCCTGCCTCAACAGGGTCTCTCATGACCCAGGACTTGCTAGTTAGGCTAGGGCCAAAAGCAAGCCCCTGGGATCTTCCTGTTTCTGCCTCCCCAGCTATCACACCTGGCTTTTTCATGTGGGTTTGGGAATTGAAATCAGACTCTTACCAACTGGACTGTCTTCCTGGCCTGCTTTGGAGTTTTTGCAGAAATTACTGAATAGTTTATCTTCCTAGAGTGCTACGGAATCTGCACTGTGTGTCTGCCTCTTTTTTCATAAACAGGTCTCTCTAGGTATGTGCTTTGCACTTCTAGTCACAGCTTTGTAAGGCTTTGTGAAAGTGGTTTGTCCCTAGGCTTCTGCTAGTAACTCACACTCTTGCATGTTCATGTGTAGAGGCCAGAGGTGGATGTCATGTATCATCTTCTATTGCTCTTTGCCTTATTTGCTTTATTTTTGTTTTTGAGCCAAGGTCTCACTATGTAGTCAGGGCTACATAGACCAGGCTGGCCTCTTAACTCACTGAGATCCACCTGCCTCTGCCTCTGAGTCCTAGGATTAAGGATGGGTGCCACTATGCACAACTCCACTTTTTTTTTTGAGATACGGTTTTTCTCCTTGCTATACCCAGAGCTCAGGGTTTCAACTAGCAAGCCCTCCAGAATCTTCCTGTGTGTCTCTTCTGTGCTGTGCTGGGGTTACAGGTGAATATTGCCATACCCAGCTTTTATTTGGATGTTGGAATTCCAGGCACAGGTCCTCATGCTTGCATAGCAAGTACATTGTCCAGGCCCCTCTTCTTGAGGGCACATACTTCCCACTCTGCAGTTGACACCAAAACATCTCTAACAGTGGTGTAGAGACCCTGGCAAGAATGGATTTAGAAAGGAGTTTTTTTTTTTTTTTTTATTCAACAATAAATTTCCACACTGATGTATAGGCAGTAGGGTGAGCTATAACTGAGATGTACCAGTATCCTTTGCACTCTGTTAGATGTAGTAAATTCTGAGCTTGTGTGTTTTTTAATTTGGTCTGTTTTAAGTGAAAAAGAAGTCTGGCCAAGATGAGTAATTCATGTTGCTGACTTCTGGAACTCCTTACCCGGTAATATAGGTTTTTTTGTTTTGTTTTGTTGGTTTTTACATAATGAAGATTTTTGTATCAGTCGTAAACTTGTCTTTTAAATGTTGACTCAGGCCTTTGCCTTTTGTATGAGTATTATTCGGATTAAAATATATTCTCCTAGTGTTAGTGCATTTGCATTTTTTCTGTACACCTGATGAGTTGGCTTTACTGCTTTAGCTCCTGTGGTAGGTAGTAACATGATGACACTCTCTTTGTTCTGTGATTGACTGTCTAGTTGGAAGTTTTGAAGCAAGACCTGAGTAAAGGAACTGAGAGACCTTTAGTTGTAAATTTCCTGATGATTTCAGACCAACTTGTGACCTCTGCCTCTGCTTCCTGGTTGAAGTTTTAGCAGAAATTGTGTTTTGTTCAAGTGAAATGTTTTCCTCGTGATCTAGGGTAAAGGGTTGTTGGTTTCAAGTCTGTTTAGCAATATGATTGCTTTATGTTTTTCTCATTCTTCTCATTTGTGTTTCTGACAGCTGGCAACTTCAATTCATTCCATCAGAGTTCAGAGGTCAGCTACCAAAGCCTTTTGCAGAGGGACCACTTGCCACTCGGATTGTTCCTGCTCACATGAATGACCAGAACCAAGAGGAGCCTTCCAGATATGTAAGGGCTGCCAATCTTCTCTTGTTGCTTAGAGAAAAAGTCACACCAGATCTCTAGGCATGTTACATTGGGGCACTGATGAAACGAGCATCTCAGAAAATGGTTTTCAGCATTCAGTGAAAGCTGAAGTATGTGGAAGGAGTAAATGGTATAATTCCTTTCAACATCTTGCTTAATTTTCTATGTAAAGCATATAATTCATTCAACTTAAAAAGTTTTGAGCAGGCTGGATTTGTCTGAGAGACCTTGAGCTGTCTTTCTGAGTACTTTCATTATTCATTGGTCTAGTGAAATGCTTGGTGGGGACCTTCAAAGTAACCAGGTTACCTTTGACCTAGCTTTTGCTATGTTTTGCTTTTAGCATAGGCACACTCAGAAAGGCTGTTTCATAGTAAATCCCGTGGAGCAATCCCTGGCAGTGCCACGATCTTCTGCCTACTTGCCTTCATAAACTCTGTAGTCATGTGAATTTTATTCGAATCTTTTGAGAGATAGCATTTGACATTTAATACTGGTAGGATCTCTGGTTAAAAAGAGGGAGAGCTGGCCTTTGAGATGGCTCAGTGGTGAGGGTGTGTGTTGTCCTCCAACTTTATAACGTGGTGCCTGTGTGAGTCTGTGCACCTCTTTGACATGCACACAAATAAATAAATAAATAATGAATATAAAAATTAAAGTGATAGAATAAATGATAAATAAAGATGACAGAATAAAGTGGGACTGTGAGATTTCATCATGATAGACTTTATTATGATACTTAGCATGCAGTTGAACACTTTATGAATTGTTTGTTTCTGGAATATTCTGTCAGTGAAGGTTATTGAAACCATGAGAAATGAAACTTTGTGATGACTGGGGAATGGATTAGGGACCTAGATAATGAATCTTCACCATTGGGGTAATAATGTTGAGACAAAATTGGATATAAAATTTATAGTAGTTGGGCTGGAGAGATGGCTCAGAGGTTAAGAGCACTGACTGCTCTTCCAGAGGTCCTAAGTTCAATTCCCAGCAACCACATGGTGGCTCACAACTATCTATAATGAAATCTGGTGCCCTCTTTAGGCATGCAGGCATACACAAAGGCAGAATGTTATACATATAATAAATCTTAAAAAAATTGTAATAATTGTCTTTGGTTAGATCATGTTTTCATGCTCTCAGATATTGCTATACTTGATTAAGTGACTCTACTTTAACTTTACTCCAGAGGGGGAGATTTTTTGTAGTACCAGTGGGAGTCACAAAATACTAGCTGTTAAAAGCAAGGACAGGCAAGGACAGGGTGTTTGGTACCAGCCCTGTGCTTATCCACATTCCTACAGTTACGAGTTTTCTACTGAACCCATGCTGCACCCTTCAATGGTTTCTTTTTTTTTTTTTTTTTTTGCTTTTTCGAGACAGGGTTTCTCTGTGTAGCTTTGGAGCCTATCCTGGCACTCACTCTGGAGACCAGGCTGGCCTCGAACTCACAGAGCTCCGCCTGCCTCTACCTCCTGAGTGCTGGGGATTAAAGGCGTGCGCCACCAACGCCCGGCTCCTTCAATGGGTTTTCTTGTGTGGTGGGAAAAGTGCCTTTCAAAGCCAGGCTGTTCTCTTTGGACCTTTGGAAATCTGTAGGAACATTTAATGGCTTATTGTTAATTCTGTATGAGCTGGGACTAGAGATTCATCTCTTGGAGCTAACTACTTAAAGAGAGATTTGTTTTCCTCTGACAGTAAGAACAATATACATTCAATGTGTGGAATAATGACAGCAATGGCCAGCAACAACAAAAAAATCATTTCATTACTTAGATACCATCACTATCACTATTTTGATGTTTTTTTTTCCTTGTACCTTTTCAAGCTTTTTTTTTTTTTTTTTTTTTTATTGCTCACAATGGAATATGTGGAGTTCAGAGGACTTTGTGCAGTTAGTCCTCACCTACCTTTACATGGGTTCTGGCACTTGAGCCCATGTTGTCAGGCTTGTACAGCAGGACCTTTGCTGCTGAGCAATCTTTGCTGGCCCTTTCACCCCCCCCACACACACACACACACACACACACACACACACACACACACACACACACGTAAATATGCACACATATGAACATATATATATATATATGTATATGTGTTCATTTAGATAGAAACAAAAAATATCAATTCTCTTTTAAAGATTTTAGTCATGTTTAATTACTTAAGAAGCAGTGCCAGAATTCTGACTGTAACAGCCAAACAGCTTTGCCTAATTTATGGAAGCACACACTTTCCTTCACTCATGCTTGTCTCTTTTGGTAGCAGTCACAGTTCATATAGCAACACAGCACTGTTCTGTATGTCTTTGTAGAGCATGGCAACTAGTGGTGCATTTGTTTGCATTTACATTTTTTTACATCACTATATAATTTACTCTGTGTTTGTATGTGCCCATGTAGAGGTCAGAGGACAACTTTTGGGAGTTGGTTTTCTCCTTTCACCATGTGGGTCTTAGGTATTGAACTCAGGTCATCAGGCCTATCAGCAAGTTCATTTATCTGCTGATAATGTTGGCTCTTGTTTGCATTTTTGAGACAGGGTCTTGCTGTGTAGCCCAGCCTGACTTGGAACTCAGAATTGTTGGGGTTATAGGAGTGTGCCACAACACACAGCTTGTAGCACTATGCTTATCTGCTCACTGACTGTCGGTGACAGGTTTTAGTTTGTTCACAGTCCAGGATAAAGTAGGTCAGTCCTCTATTTCTGTCTTGCTTGGAAACGAGGGAAGACGTATGGCTCCTGTTACTTCACTGTCCCCCGTCCCTCTGAGTTTATCAGATATCTGGGGTGTTGTGGAGGACCTGTGGTGTCTAGTGCATTGTTACAACTTGTATTGCAGAAACGATTTTTGCTTCATATTTCATGCATTACTAAAAAAATGGACTTAATGGGTCATGCCAAGATTTCTGGTAGAAACTAGTTCTGAATTTAAAAGACATGTTAGTGTTGCCTTTCTTGACAACTTCAAATTTTGTTCCCTAGTTCAAAGCAAATAACTCTCCAGCTCTTCATTCTGGGATCTGGTTTTGAACTTACCCAGGCAGTGGCTAGGCGTTGGAGAAGACAACTCTTGAGGAAGCTTAGAGAAAAGGCTTTTCTCTGACTATGATTTGAGTTATGAGTAAATGGAGTTGCTGGGTGCTTGCCCATGTGTTATCTTTGGAAGAAATAGATTGGTTAGTAAGTTTCCCCCCCAAACAGCAATAGCTACAGTTCTTTTACAAGATGGTGTAGAATAGCTAAGTGTCACTGGTGAAGTAAAGCCCACAGAGTTTATGGGGGATGGGATTAGGGCCACAATACTTAAATATTTTGTAAATAAAAAATCAGTTGCTAGAGTGCTTGTCTAGCACCTACAAGGCCATTGGTTTGATCCCCAGCATTACATGGTGATACACCTTGGCAACTTGGAAGGTAGAGGCAAGAGGGACATGGTCATCCTTGGCTACCTGGTACGTTTAAGATCAACCTGGCATACATGAGACCCTATCTCAAAAGAAAGAAAAAAAAGAAAGGAAAGAAAGAAAGAAAATTATGACATATGATTCCAATAAACATGCAGCCCAGTTTTATGTTTGTTAATGTCTAAAGGTGCATACCTCCCATAACGGGTCTGGTACTTGTCTTGCATAAGTTTGAGGAGTGCTGGTGAGGTAGCGGCATCTGTGGAGCAGTGAAAGGTTATGTGAGTCCTGACACAGCACCAGAGGCACGTCCATGAGGGGCTCATCACCCATAGCTGAGGAGCTTGCGGTGACCTTCTGTGTGCTTTGTGCATTTTGTGTCTCTGCACAGCTGGTTCAACTGTATGTAGCTTTCTGCATTTACCAAGCATCTCGAGCATAAGCAAATGCAATAATTAAATTATGCTCAAATAGTCCTCATTATATTCATTGTGTTGGTATGACTTTTTCAAAATGAGTATTAAAACAGAAGCGCTGTGCAGCGAGATAATTCAGTGGGTAGAGGTACTTGGCCACCAAGTGTGATGACCCCAATTCTATCTCCCAACCCTGGTTTGAAGGAAGACCTGAGCCCTGCAGATTGTCCTCTCTGAACTCTCTCAGTAAATACATAAATAAATGGAAAAATTAAAAAACAAACGGAGACATTGTTTATTTAGTCAAAACTCTTTATCCTTTATTCTTTTCCATTTAGGCAGTAACTTAGGTTTTGGAAGGGAATTTAAGGTATGAATTCCATGCTTTCTTCACTTTGTGGGTGAAGGGACTGACTGAGGCCTAGAGTCATTGTAACTTGACAAAAGTTAGTCCTAGATAAGAATTTTGGTTTCAGGACTCCCTCATGTTTTTACACCTTTACTTAGGTGTTTTCATGCTGAAGTTAGTCACTCTTTGCTGCAGCCCGGCTCACAAACATAAGTAGCTAAGTTGCTTTTTAATTTCTTCCCCCATTTTGGAGCTCCCTTCATTTGTGCCAGGTACTTGTAGCCTATCAATAAATAATCAAGATCCTTCTTCCTCTTTATTTTTCTGTCATCATTCCTGCTGACCTTCTTGTATCCTTAGTTGAGAAGAAAATGAATGAATTACCTTGTTGGTTTCCTGGCTGATAGTTCCCATTCTTGGTAAGCAAAGCAGGTGGATTCACACTGCCATATTTATGCTGTACCAACATCGGAATGCACTAACAACTTAACTGAACAGTATTCAAAATGCTTCAGGAGCATTTCCCTGCATCCATTGTATTGACACTTAGAAATTGATGATTGGGCTTGGCGTTGGTGGCGCACTCCTTTAATCCCAACACTCGGAAGGCAGAGGCAGGTGGATCTCTGTGAGTTCGAGGCCAGCCTGGTCTACAAAGCGAGTTTCAGGACAGGTTCCAAAGCAATACAGAGAAACCCTGTCTTGGGGAAAAAAAAAAGAAAAAAAGAAAAAAAAAGAAATTGATGATTGGGTGAATTTTTACCTGTGAGTTTATATTTTTTACAGAGTGGTAAATTTTTGTTCGTG